CACATGGCTAGTAATCCAAGACTGTCAGAAATTACTGTGTAAGCGAGAGAGTTGACCTGAAGGTGATTAGACATAATGCATTTCAAAGGTTGACAAATGAAATAAAAGCAAGGTGGACTTACCGTGGATCGAGGTTACATGGCAGGTGATGGCAAATTGCCTTCCCAAAGCAATAAAACATGTGTAGTTGTGTCACCGTTGCCATGCCTATGGCTGCAGGGCATATTTTAATTAGTTATTTGCAAGACTCCTCATCAGCAGCAGTGTGGTTACTAGGGAAATTGTTGCTTAGAGCAGAATCGTTTGCTGATGGATGGATAAAGGAGAAAACAACTGTTAGAAGTTAAAACATTCAATGCCATTCCCACAGAAAGAACTTAAATACTTCCATGAAAATTGTAAGCCGTTTCCGTGCTGTATATTCTATGTAAATCCGTGCAAAAAAACCTCATAAATTGAAACGCGGATTCCCTTAGACAATAAATGGACAGTGTATAATAATGATCCTTGCCTTATCACATGTTTGAGACATCTCAAAGCGCTTCACAGAATATACTGTAAAGTGAATTGACTATATTTTGTGGGTGAAACGTGGCACCCAGTTGCGCACAGCAGTGTCCCACAAACAGTTGTGGATTGAGTGACCAAATTATTATTATTTAAATATATATTTTTTAAGGAATACCCGCGGAAAAGCATCCGCCAATCGACCAACTGGGTTCCCACTTATTGATAGATAAACAGAGGCGTGTGGAGCAAGGAAACTTACCTAACGTTTTGCCCCATTGGGAATCGAATCCAGATACTTTCACTTGGCGAGTGCTCCAACCACTGAGATACAGAAAGGGGGAAGAGGAAAGGTACATAAAACCAACAAACTAATCTGATGGGTATTGAATCTTAAAAAAATACTCAAATGGGTGCACTTCATCATTTAGTAAAAATTAACCATAAATATTAAGTAAGCTCTAAAATAAAATAAAAATGCCTATTAATTTAATCACCACTCAGTCTACACCTAGAACTAGGACAGTGTCTCTAGATTTTCCATTCTTTTTGTCGCTATCGATGTAGTACAAATCAATATTCTCTTGTTTGAGAAAATATTAATATGGAAGCACAATATCGGTGACCCATTCAGAACAAACCCAGAAACATACACTGTTGACTTGAGTGGGGAGAAAAAAAGCAGCTCATGACAATTAGATCATCGATCTTTCCTGTGTTCGTGAGAATGTAGAGTCCTAATGAATCTTGTGGCTACTCATTCAAAAGTCATCTCTTTTGCAACCGCCGCACTCGAGCAGGCTTCATTCAGGCTACATTAACTCCCTAATCTCCGTTAGTTGCAACAATTCACAAAAAAGTTAGGAGGTCAGGTTATCAAAAGTGTCATTACTTGCTACAGAAAAAATATGAATTGGATGTGTATTTATAGATTCTGCAGGCCTCTGTTGCTATGAAAGCTTTAGCCAGTGAATGGTTTATTCAACAGCACTTATTTTCATCTGTTTCTTGACCTCTTTGTTAAAATGTTCAACTTCCCTTCCGCTGTGTAGAGGGCTTTCCGTGTACTTCTTTTCTGCTTGTTTGATGCTCATCTGATCAACCTCAGCAATTGCACAGATGATGGCCTCTGGCAAGAGAACATACAAGATAAAGCTCCACTTCTCTGTCCTCTAGCAGTTGTGTGTCCAGGCTCACGCTGTCACACACACTTTGCAAATAATTCCATACCTCTTTGACCAACTAGTGAGCATCTTCGTTGGGGCAGGGGCAGGGAGAAAGGAAAAGCAGGTTCTCACTGGAGCTGTACTAACTCCATGCTTGGTAATGGAATATCGCAGTCAACCATCTGTGACGAGTCTTGGTACTCTGGATCCTGAGACAGGTGGATCTACAGCACTCCAGGTCAGTGCTGATGACAGCCTAGCCAGTCTGACTCATTGGTATGACTTGGAGAGACAGAACAGTCACTAGAGACAGGGATTGTTCCCAGTCAGCTCCTGTTAATCCTGCAAGTCCAAATGGTAGGTTGGTCCTCGCTGGAAAAGCAGCAGGAAATCTTGCCACATGGTGCTTTCAATGGCAAGCTATGCAGTTTTAGCTGGTTAAACTCCAGCAGTACCCCAATGCAAACTCTGGTGTCCCTAAGCCTTGGCTCTTGCCAACGTCTCCAGAATTAGGTAAGCAGGATGCATCCTTCAGGGAGCTAGTGCGCATTCCATTTCAATACACGGGAAATTCCAAGTGTAGGTGGGATGTGTGGAACTCTCAATTAGTTTGGACACTCTTAAACATGGTGATGGGTTTCCTCAAGTGTCCGAGACCAAGCGAAAATGGAAAAAAGTCTCCTTTTGCCTATGAACGCCACTTGGGCCCACTAGACTGAAACTGATAGTGTATTTATTGGATATCAAAGTGGAGCTATTTGAGGATAACTGATCAATAAGAGACAAATGCAGCCTGGGGAAATATCAGTTAAAGGAGCTGAGGTGACTGCTGCAGGGTCTATATTCAGCAATATGCAATACGTTCCTATATTATTAAAGTGAAGAATGCCATTGATATCAATTCTAAACATCATTAAATGCTCCACTATTACAATTCTCCCACATGTACAATCGAGTTAAGAGACATTTAAATTTATCTTTTTCAAAAACATTTGAAAAAGAGATTGTGCTCTTGGTACCGTACATTTTAAGTGAGTTCTTCTACTTGAGATCAGTGAAACACTCTTTCTCTACCCTCACCTCTGACCTTTCACTCCCAACCTCTTGCAAAGCACACAACATAATGGGCAAAATGTAGATCAGTCATGCTAGACTCACTAAGGTCAGGAATCCAGAGGTTCTAATGATAAACATTTCTAATGTTTATTAATTAATAGAGTTCTGCAGCGAAGTGGTTAGCACATTTGCCTTGCAGGCAAGAGAACCCGGGTTTGATTCCCAGGCAGGGCAAAATATTAGGCAAGTTTCCTTACTCCACACTCCTGTTTACCTAGTAGTATGTAGAAATCTGGTTGTTAGTTGATTGGTAGATCGCTTTCCATGGGTAATAATCCCCCCCAAAATTGTGACTATCTAGGACTCTTTGCTGGACACTGATGTGCGCAATTGGCTGCCACATTTTGCCCACAAAACGCACAATCAATCCACTTTACAATATATTCTATGAAACACTTTGAGACGCTTCAACGACGTGAAAAGACACCATATCAAATACAAGGTTTATTATCATCATTGTTTTGAACCTGTGTTCACAAATAAAACTAACAAAAAGTATTCTGCAGTCAGTCCAATTTAACAAACATAAAATCCAAGCAAATGTTTATTTTGATTGATTTCAAAAGAATTTCATACACAATTTCCATCAACATTTAGTTAACTGTGCAAAACACTTTACAAATATAAAGAAGTTTTCTTCTGAACACATCAACCTGACTCGAATACAAATGCACCAAAAATCACAAATGAAATTTACAGTAAGATTAGTGAAAAGTAGAAGCCACCTTGTATTGAGCATTATTCCTGTCATTCTTCCATCTAATACTGCTTTTGGTCATAAAGGGTAAAACTGGTGAGGAAGTTATTAATATAAATGAGAAAAAATATATATTATGTACTTTACAAAATAACAAAACTCATTTTTGTCAGTCCAAAGTACAATGATGTAGGGTCCACACAATAGCATTCTGTGCTCTACATATTAAATAGGAGATCCTTACCCAAGCCATTTTACAGGATAGCATTAAATCACATTATATCAATAAACTGCTTTCAATAAAATTCAAAGCTTTTTTAAAAAAACATAATTCCTACATAATTAAAACTCCACAGCTCACCCAACTGAAAACATACCTCAGTCTTCGTTGATGCCTAGTGCAAGTTCACAGGAGAAAATCTAACCAAATGACAATGGTGCAGATATTTGTACCTTCAGCCCTCAACTACAAAAAAAAGTGAACATTGTTCACAACACTTACGTTACTTCCCACTTTCGGGTTAATTGTCCCATTTATAATCTGTGCATCTCATTTGATTTGCAGTTTAATTCTCTCAGTTCTGGTGAATTGGTGACTTGCAATTAAGTGGTATGCCTACTGTAAAATCCTGTGGAGCGCTTGAAGACATTTTGACAACATGCTAAAGCACCATATCAAATGCGAGGATCATTATTGTATCAAGTTGAAATTTCTTATGTGAAGTGTATGTCTCCTTCAATTGTAGCTTTAGAGCAATGTATCGCCATGACTACAAGAAGATAGGAATAAGAATCACAGCATTTGCACGTTTTTCGATATACCCAGTGTCTCAACTGAATCCAGTTAAAACCAACAGGAGTTCCAAATATGAGGAGTCGTCTCACTCATCTCTCAGTACCAGAGTGCCACTCTTATTGACTTTATTTGATGCACTGACAGTCAAAGCTAGGTTTTCCTGAGTTCTTGAATCCGATTGCAGACCACGCAGATAACGCACTGGTTACATTAGCCATATTGGTGATGTGCAGTTGACCTCAAGCCTTTGACCTGCCTTGAGACTGGAATAATTCACAAAGCCTGTCCCACGTCAACCCGTTCTGAAAACTCCTGTAGACAACAAATCTTAGGACAAGTTACACTTACAGGAGCACCACACACAATCTGCGTGGGTAAAACTAGCAGCTGACACTGGTCTCAATGCACAATAAATTATATTGACATGACAAAATGAACAAACAAAATTGAGGCTTTCTGCCCCCATCTTTTTTTTGGAACTCCATCCCACAGTCCCTTCACTGACCCCCCCCCGACCCCCCTCCCTTGTCGCCTTTAAGACCCTCCTCTTCGTCCGCTCCTTCGGTCACCCGCCTCCCCCCCCCCACCCCCCACCACCAGCCCAGGCGTGAATCCTTGCCCGTCCAGCGCCTCGGGACGTCCTTCCGACGTGAAAGCCGCCGTACAAACGTCATTTGTCGGTACGTATAAAGATTTCGAAGCACCTTGAGTCGCCCGTATAAAAAAGTATCACAAAAGAAACAAAAGGTAAAAAAAAAAACACAACCCGCGCACCGTCGGGTCGGGACCGCAGTGCGCTTCCAAGAATTCAAATATTAACATTTATCGCCGTGGTGTGCGCTGTGATCAAAACCGCTTCTTCTAAGACTGGCTCGTCACGGCTAAGGTGTTCACGTACCCGTGTGCGCACATTTCGTGGTCGGAAATGCACCGGGTGAATTGCACCGGGGGGGCAGAGTACTTTCTGACACGTCTGACGGTGCAGAAGCCCTCCAGCAGCTCCGTGCAATCGCAGAGCAGCCAGAACACGTTCTTGAAGAGGAACACCGAGACCTGTTGCCCGTACAGGAACACCAGGAAGCACCTGACCACCAGGAGAGGGCCGTTCACGGCGTAACTCGCCAGGAAGCGGACCACCACGCACTTGTAGTCCAACTGCAACGAGTTGAGTTGGTACAGCCAGAGGACCGGGATGAAGAACGAGACGAAGTAGACGCCGGTCACCGTGTACTTCAGGGTCGCGTTGGGGATCTGATCGGCCAACAGCATCTCCATCAGAGTGAAGCTGTCCAGCAGGTCCAGGCAGGTCCGGCTGTAGCAGCTCTGAGCCCGGTAGCTCGCGTGTCCGGTCAGGTCCTCGGTCACGGAGTTTATGAGCGTGTAGAGGAGGGGCACGGAGGACATGACGGTGATTTTGAAGCCCGTGGTGCCCAGGGGCACCTTCAGCTCGATCAGGTCCAGGATGGAGGTTTCCAGTATCAGCACCATTTTGGGGGTGCAGGCGATCACGTAGATGAGCCAAGCGAGATAGGCGAAGGCGAACTCCCCCCGAGCAGCCGCGCAGGAGGAGGGGGAGGGGGAGGAGGAGTGGGGGAGCGGTGGTGGGGGGGGTGGCGGTGGTGGTGGTGATGATGGGGGTCCTCCTCCCCCTCCCCCTCCCCCTCCCCTCGCCTTGGCGTGGTCTTCCCGCTCCTTCTTGGCGTGTTTGACGAAGAAGATGACCCACCCGCCCATCACCACCAGGTCGGTGGCGATCCAGGAGCACCAGTACAGGTCGGTGAAGATGATGAGGTAGAAGTCCAGCACTCCGCCCTGGAGCAGCAGGAGCAGGAGGCAGAGGGTCTTGTAGAAGGCGGTCCTGTTGGCCGGGGCCGGGGCGCTGCTGGTGTAGTCCGAGGTGTTGTTGAGAAACTCCCCGGAGGTGGTGATGATGAACGCCGGACGCGCTTTGATGGCGGCGGCGGCGGCGGCGGCGGCGATGCCCATCTCCGGGTTGACGTTGGCGGCGGAGACCTGCGAGTTCCTCCTGAACGAGCTGTTCCGGATGAAGAGCGCGTCGCTCTCCCCGGAGGCGGAGGCGGCGGCGGCGGCGGTGGGGTGGGGGCGGTGGGGGCGGCCCTCCTCCCCCGGGCAGGCGGCGGTCCTCCTGGGCGCCGCGGGTCGGGAGCTCCGGGTACCGGGCGCCGCCGCGCTCATTGTCTCCGCGCGGTGTCTGGCGGCCCGGGGGGGGGGGGGGGGGGGGACAAGGACAGGGGTGGATTTTGTAGGGAAGGAAGGGACTGCTCTCTCTCTCTCGAATCACCAATAAGAGAGTGGGTGTGGGGGGGGGGGGGGGGGGGGGGGGGGGGGGGGGGGGTGATGGGGGGAGAGAGAGAGAGTGAGAGCTGTATTCAGGGCTGATGGCGATCAGCCTCCAATAGCTCGTCCGCGAAAACAGAAGTCTGTGGGTCGATTCGCAAACCTTAGGCGGTATTTTGCGGGGGGGACGCGCTGTCGACGAGATCCTCTGCGTTTCTGCTCATCCCGACTTTGGGGATCCCGGTACCGCTCCGACTGCCCCGGAAACCTGCTCAGCCATGTCAGCACCGGCACAGCCCCGACACCGGCACCACAGCCCCGACACCGGCACCACAGCCCCGACACCGGCACCACAGCCACAGCCCCGACACCGGCACCACAGCCCCGACACCGGCACCACAGCCACAGCCCCGACACCGGCACCACAGCCCCGACACCGGCACCACAGCCACAGCCCCGACACCGGCACCACAGCCCCGACACCACAGTACCGGCACTCAACACCCGCACTCTGATGGATTCTCTCGGGATCACTCCCCAATCGCCGTCGATCCTCCGCTCCTCATCGCACAGTCCGCGCTCTTCCCTCATCCGCACGAAGCGTTTTGTGGGCAATGAAAATAAGCCAATGCAAAATTGCCGATCCACCGGGGACTTTCCTCCCCCAACTCCAACCCCCCCCCTCATCCCCCCCCCACACCCCCCCCCACACCCCCCCCTCACCCCCCCCCCTCACCCCCCCCCCCTCACCCACACCCCCCCCCCACCCCCCCCCCCCACCCCCCCCTCACCAACACCCCCCCTCACCACAACACCCCCCCTCACCAACACCCCCCCCCTCCCCAACCCCCCCTCACCCAACCCCCCCCCTCACCAACCACCCCCCCCCTCACCAACACCCCCCCTCACCAACACACCCCCCCCTCACCAACACCCCCCCCCCACCAACACCCCCCCCTCACCAACACCCCCCCCTCACCAACACCCCCCCCCTCACCAACACCCCCACCCACACCCCCCCCCCCCACCCCCCCCTCACCAACACCCCCCCACACCAACACCCCCCCCTCACCAACACCCCCCCCACACCAACACCCCCCCTCACCAACCCCCCCTCACCAACCCCCCCCTCACCAACTCCCCCCCTCACCAACACCCCCCCTCACCAACACCCCCACCCCCCCCCCTCACCAACACCCCCCCCCTCACCAACACCCCCCCCTCACCAACACCCCCCCCCTCACCAACACCCCCCCTCACCAACACCCCCCCACCAACACCCCCCCTCACCAACACCCCCCCCACCAACACCCCCCTCACCAACACCCCCCCCCTCACCAACACCCCCCCTCACCAACACCCCCCCCTCACCAACACCCCCCCCTCACCAACACCCCCCCCCCACACCCCCCACCAACACCCCCCCCTCACCAACCCCCCCCCTCACCAACCCCCCCCCCCCCCCCCTCACCAACCCCACCCCCCTCACCAACCCCCACCCCTCCTCACCAACCCCCCTCACCATCCACCCCCTCACCAACCGCCACACCCCCTCACCAACCCCCACCCCTCCTCACCAACCCCACCCCCCCTCACCATCCCCCAACCCCCTCACCAACCCCACCCCCCCTCACCACCCCCACCCCCCCTCACCCCCCCTCACCATCCCCCCTCACCAACCCGCTCACCAGCCACCCCCTCACCATCCACCCCCTACCAACCCCCCCCCCCTCACCATCCCCCCCCTACCAACCCCCCCCCTTACCAACCCCCCCTCACCAACCCCCCCTCACCAACCCCCCCTCACCATCCACCCCCCTCACCAACCCCCAACCCCCTCACCAACCCCCACACCCCCTCACCATCCCCCCCTCACCAACCCCCCCCATCACCAACCCCCAACCCCCTACCAACCCCCCCCCTTCACCAACCCCCCCCCTTACCAACCCCCCCCCTTACCAACTCCCCCCCTCACCAACCCCCACTCTCCTCCCCACCCCCCTCACCAACCCCCACCCCCCGCTGGCGTCTGGAAATAGAAGCGAATCCAAACCTTTTTTTTTGTAAGAGCTGAACAAAATTATTCTCTGGCTGTACTTGACCCAAGTACAGTATCCCGAGGGGATTGTTACCCCCCAACCCCCCCCACACACACACACACCCATACACACACCCACATACACACACCCACACACACACCCTAATACACACACACACCCTAATACACACACACCCACCCACATACACACCCACCCACATAGACACACACCCACATACACACACACACACACATACACACACCCACACAATGCAGGATTACAATCCCCGCCTGCACTATTTTCCAGTTGGGAAAAATAGTTTCTGTCATTGTTCACTCACCTCCCGGTGACATTTTTAATGTCAGGAAAGCGCCCAGAGAGCAGGTGCTCTTTTCTGATCCCCAAAACACGACAGCGATCGAGTCGCTTAACTTTCCGGTTAAATCATTACCTTTCGAATTTACATTTCAAATTGTATTTCGCCCACCAAATACACAGTCACTCCCGCACTTCACGCTATATTCTGCACCCCACTTTAATGACATGATAAGGCGCTATATCAGATGCAAGGATTATTATATTATTTTTGCACTGACAGAAAACGTGCTGTATAACTGCATTATATAAGACGCCTTTCTTCCTTCTTGATTAACGCGTCTTCCATTGCAGTGATCACCAATGGAGTAATTAATGCCCTCACAGTGAGTTTACATTTAAAAGAATAACTTACATTGATTTTTTTNAAATTAAAAGGCTCTTCACGAAATCCAAAAATAGCAGGCATTATTGCAAAATAAGTGGAACCTCACATCACCCATATGTCATCCAGGACTTACAAACACTTAAGAGAATCCGAAAGAGAAAACCAGGTTGCACACAAATAATAATAATAATCCTTGCATTTGATATAGCGCCTTATCAACTCATTGAGACGTTTCAAAGCGCTTCACAGAATATACGGTAAAGTGTAGTAAATGATAAATGATATATAAAATATTTAATAAATAGACGATAAATAAAACGTAAATATAAATGATGAAAGATTTTGAAAGAGATTGGGAGTCAAAGTGGTTCTTAAGCAGTTATCTCTCGATATTTGTCACAACAGAAAATACTGTTAACTATTTTAAGTCACATTATTGCTAACATACTGTAAATCAGGGTAGGGCAAAGGGATACACAAATGTGTATCTATTTACATTGTATCACACTATTATACCCAGCGTTATTAAATCGTTGATACAAAGCGACAAACCAAATTTTATACATTTTTATAAAAGCAGAAAATGCTGGAAATGCCCAACACAGTGATTGATATCTGAAAGTGGAAGATGGAAGGAACTTGATTTTTCAAACCAAAAGGTGCCAAATTTTCAGGAATAACTAAGGAACACATGTGCCTAGCAAGGACTCGCAAACCTTAAGGTTTATGACTGACCAATTTAACTGGAGAATTGTTGGCCAAGATTCCAGGACAAACAGCACATTGGACTCACGGTTAATATCAGATCCAACTGCCCCTCCAATAATGCAACATTGCCGCAATAGTGGACTGGAGTATCAGCCAGGACAACAAACTCAAATCCCAACACCAGGCTTGGCATTCCAGCAGTGCTGGGGAGGTACCGTCCTTCTGATGAGAACTTAAACCAAGGTCCCGATTGCCTATTCAGGGAGATGTTAAAGGTAATAATCCTTGCATTTGATAATGCGCTTTATCACGTCGTTGAGTCTCAAAGTGTTTCATAGAATATACTGTAAAGTGTATTTTGTGAGAGGAACAAAATACATACAGATCCCATGACACTATTTAAAAAGAGAAGTGAGTTTCTCCTGGTGTCCTTCCCAACAAACTCTGATGAAATTGATCATTCACTTTACGGTTGTTTGTAAGACATTGCTGGGTGCAAATTGGTTGCTGCATTTGCATAAAAAATACACAATCACTGTAAATCCTGACATGAATAGCACTAAATCAAGTGTAATTATTATTAATAATTCAATGTGAAGGGGCAACTGAGCTGGTTTCAAAATGTTTGTTTTTGACAATGAAACATTAGAATCGAGTCTTCTGTAATAGTCTCAGCAGACCAGTTCCCTGAACCCATGGGCTATCAGAACTCTCTGACGGCAAACCTGCCAGACAGCCAGCCTGGGTTATCATCAGGTTGTAGAGTGGCAGACCAGTCACTGGGGGCAGCGAATCTTCCCTTTCGGCTTCCTGATGGGAAGGTAGCCTTAATCGGGCAAGCTGTGGGAAACTGCCAGATGAGGCTCTCAATGTCAGTTCTGTGCGGTTTAAATCGATTTGTTTTAACTGGTTAAACTCCCAAAGCATTGCAACGCACACTCGGGTTCTCCAAGCCTCGACTCTTGCCAATGTGCACCTAAAACTCAGACCAGATTTAGGTAAGCAGGATGTGTCCTTTCTTGGAGAGTGTACATTCCAATCCAGATATAGGGAAATTTCCATGGGTAGGTGGTATACATACGTGGAACTCTCAATCTGGTGTGAATACTCCGAAGCATACTGAAGGGTTTACCCATGGGTCAGGAACCCCCAGTTGACCCCCCCAAAAAAAATGGATGTGACCAGTAGCTAATTATTAACTCTTGAGCCGACCAAAATATCAAGATCATTTCACTTCCTGTATGCATGTTTTAGTTAATGTTGTAATAATAATAATAATAATCCTTGCATTTGATATAGCGCTTTTCACGCCGGGAGGATGTCCCAAAGCACTTCACAGAAGACACTGTAAAGTGAATTGACTGTAAATTTGTGGGCGAACGCGGCAGCCAATTGCGCACAGCAATGTCCCACAAACAGTCGTAGATTGAAGATGACCAATTTATTAT